GGACATGGTTTAGTGGGCATGGTGGTGTTGGGTCGACGGTTGGACTCGATGACCTTAGAGGTCTTTTCCAACATTAATGATTCTGTGACTTATAGATTGGGGAAGGACAGACGTGAAGGGGGGAGGTGGGTCTGGCCTTGGGGAAGGTGTGGGGGTCTGAATCGAATAGGATAGACTATTTCAGCTGGGAGGGACCTACAAGCAGCTGCCTGACCAATTCAGGGCTGACCAAGTTAAAACATGTTATGGAGGGCATTGTCTAAATGCCTTTTAAACACTGACAGGCTCGGGGCATCGACCGCCTCTCTAGGAAGCCTGTTCCAGGGGTTGACCATCCTCTTGGTAAAGAAATACTTCCTCATGTCCAGTCTAAACCTCCCCTGGCCGCAGCTTTGAACCATTCCCGCGTCCTGTCCCTGGATACCAGGGAGAAGAGATCAGAGGGCTCCAGAGATCAGTTTGCCCTAGAGCTGTGGCAGAAGGAGAGATGAGGATTGCGGTGGAACCTGGCCTAGCTGTGATGGAGAGAAGAGGATTTTGGGTGACTGACCTACAGCTTTCCCCAGTAGGACTAGGGAAGGAACGGGGTCTCTTCTGGTATTGGGAAAAGGACAGGGACTGGGGAAAGGTCTGGTGTAGCAGGTGACTGTGTTGTCTTTGGGGTGAGGAGGAGGAAGACTGTCTGTATACTGGGAAAAGGGAAGAGAAAGGGATGGAAGTGGTTTTTTGGGAGGGAGGAGTTCTAGCTTGGGGTAAGGAAATAAATAGTCTTGGGGATGGCATTGGGGAAGGAGAAGGGAACGAGTTGTGGGAGAAAAGAAGGGGGCAGAGGAGGGTTCATCCCTGAGGTGGGGCAGGGCACCCTGGGAGGGCAGGGGAGCAAGGTTTGGGAAGTGTAGATGTGTCTGTGTTTTGGGTTGGAGAGGTTGAGACGGCGTCAAGATTGAAAGGAAGGCTGATGAGGTTTAACCTGCATGCTGTAGGGGCTGGTGTGGGTTAAAGGGTGGGAACCGAGGCAGTCCCATACTTAAATGTATTTGGGAGGGGTTGGTGGGACTTTGGTCTTCTATAAAGTTGCTTTGTATCAGAAATGGAGTGGGTTCGAAATGTTTTCTCCATAGAAGGATGGAAACATGTTGATGTGGAGAAGCCCCTCAGCCTAGAGCCGTTCTTTAGTGGGGATCTGTTGGTCTTTTGAGACGAGGGGAGCTGATTTTCTCTGTGTGCCATAGTAGAGAGGTACTGTGTGTCTTACCTGCTGCACCTCTTGGAGAGTCACCCCTGAGTACTTCATGTCTTGTAGCATCATTTGGAGAATCATAGAGTTAGAAACCTGGTGGAACTGCGTCTTAGGCCTTTAGTTAAAAAAGAGGGGAGAGTCACTTGATAGGCCTTATAAACATCTTTATTATGAGGGTTGTTGGGCTCACAGGAGCGTTAAACTCATCATTTGCCAGATGGTAGCTCTGGGAATAAACCACCAAAGATAATGACCCTCTGGAAACTTGGAGGAGGACAAAAAGTAAACAAACACCAACACGTTAGAAGCCTGTGCAGAAATGTTTTGCAGATAATTAGCAAGGGCGGATGAGAAGAATCTGTGACTAAGTTTTGCAGGCTCTGAGGTAGATGCGTCGCGAAGGGATGGTGTTCTGCTCGTGAGCTGACAGCACCTTCTCCCAGTGTATGTAGCATCTCCTCGCACCTGGGGTGATCAGTAATGCTTACGTTTCGTTGAATGATCTCAAAGCATTTCACAAGAGAAGGTGAGTCACCTCCTTTTTATAGAAGCAGCCACCGGGTTATGTGTTAGCTAAAGAATTTATTCAATGTTGTGGTGACGCTGCCGGAAATATAATCCACGTCTCTCTGCTGCTAATCCTAGTTCTTGCTCTGTGCTGCTGTGTGCAGCTGTGTATGATGCTGCACTCGGGTCGGGGGGCAGCTCTGTCAAAAAGACAAACTCTTTGCTAAAAAAAGAGGTGATTTACAGGCTGTGGATAATGTGTCGATGTTGGAGAGCCCAGACTGGGAGAGACTGCATATGTCATCTGGTCAGCAGATAAATGTGTAGGCAAACATAGGTTTCTTTAAAAAATACGAAGGAATTTATTGTGAAATCATTTAGATGTCTCTTCCACTGCATACAGGGAAGTGGTTTACGGCCTGTAACCCTCTCAAGTTTATGAACCTATTCTTGACTGTATTTACAAGTAATTTAAAGCCGTTTGTTTATTTTTTTTTCTGCCAGCCTAGTCCTTTGCATGGTATTCTAAAGGACTTGTATCTGTTCGTTGTTGGGGGATTTTTGGGGGGGTATTTTTGTTGTGGTTTTTTCTTTTTCTGGGTGGGAATACTGAAATGGTATGTCTTATTGCAGGTGAGGCTTTTTTCAGTGTGTTTTACAAAACCATGAACGTTCCATGTCTTGTTACACAAGGAACTTCTAGCCATGTTTTAGGAGGAACAGAATGGGAGTGGCGTAATGCTGAACTTCAGGTGGTGGGGTCAAAGCAAAGTCATGGGAGGAGGAGAGGAGAGAGATCCTGAATTTCAGGTAATAGTTCCTTGCAGTAAACCAGCTGTGTAAGTGGTAGGAGGCCTCTAGCTCAGCGTTTCTGAAATGAGATTGTCAAAACTTCGGGAAATATGGGGGAAAAAAAAAGTCTTCATTTTGAAGGACAGTAACTGAGCTATTTGGTCTTTAGCGGTGAGCTCACGGTTTACATCAGAGATGAAGTTGATATATTTAACATTGCTTTTCATTGCACAGCTCAAGTATGGTGAGGTGTCCTCCATGTAGGTGCTGTACGAGCTAACGAGAGAGAAGCAGAGGCAAAGTTCTGTTTTATAAAAGGCAAAGTGCTGCCAGTAGATGAGACCAAGAAGTTTCTTTAATATTGACTCAAGGAGAAGAGAGGTACAAAAGTAATAAGATGGTGGGTTTTAGCAGCTCAGAAACCATAATCACAGGTTAATACCCATTAGAAAAGTATATGACACAATGTATGAGCGTCATAGGTGAAGTACATATTTAATGCCTTTTTCCAGCTAACTTCAAACGGTTGTGACCGTTTCTTCTTTCGTGTGTTTAATGTTGGTAAAATTTCTCATGTGTTTTAATCGAACTCCTTGAAGTCTTGTGTTAAATTACAGTATGCTGTTGAATGTTCATAAACAGTAGCGATGTTCTGTACCGTTGATGACTGTTTTCATTGTTGAATAAAATCAGTCTTGGTTATCCTTATATACATCTATATTTCTGCAAGGTTTGAATTTCTTCTCTGAGAGAGAGAAGGGGGAAAAAAAAAAGTTGTGCAGATCTGATGCTAATTAAAATGTCATTATATTGGGGAAAAATGTGCTGGAACGATGAATGGATTTAATTACCAAAGAGGTTTTTGCTTGGAAATTCTGGCCTCAGGCACAGAAAGGAGCTGACTGTCAGGCAAAGCCTTTAAGCTCTCAGGTGAGTCAAAAGTCATATGACCCAAGGCATGTACACATATATATACACACACAGGTCAAGTGACTGCTTCGTTTCTTCTCCTGGGCCGAGAGGACTTGTTTTACTCTTAGATCCAGGGTTAAATATATGTTCTCTATTCTTTATATATTTTCCCTTGTGGTAACGGGCATAGTAGGATTTTTGCTTTAGCTTCAGTTTTTTTTACCTGCTCTTTTAGACTTTGAAGAGAAGGAAATACTACGGATGGACAGTTCTGTAAAGGCAGCAGCCCCCAAAGGGCTGCCTGAGAGTTCTGCGTCTACAGATAGAGGTAAGGAGCTTGAGATACGGTTTAGGAAGATCTTTTTTTATGGCACA